GGTGAGTTCAGTCTCCTCCGACCAGCAGGAACTGTGGGGGGAAAAAAAAAAAAAAAAAAAGCGCAAAGGGTCCAGGGGAGCAGATCTATGGAACAGACCCTTTGATTTTATGTTAGTTCCTCCTCTTTTGGTTTCCTTAGACCTGTGGAAAGAAGCTATTCTGAAAATACGACTTTGAACACAAATAATATCATTGACATCAACACCTTCTATGATTTTGTTGCATACAGCTACCAGAAACTATAGTAACAACTTCCATATGGATCAGGCTATCACTGAAAGGGAAAAAAAAGAGCTGACCTGCAGGAAATCTGTGCAAAAAAAAAAACAGGAACAGATAGTTTGATTTCTCCAAGCATTTTCAGTTTTCTTGGCCGGACCTTCAAACACTCTTTTTGCAAGCATCAGGTAGTAAACCTGATTGCTACCTCACCTGCTATTTCTTGTTAGGTAAGCAAGCCGAAAGATATCAAGTTCAGTCTGCTTTTACAGTTTTCTCAGGAGAGCAAGGGTCTTCGTGGGGATATTTTGAGAGAAAGAAAAAGTTAATCATGTTAGTTGCTGACTCCTGTCTCACAGACTTGCCCTTCTCCAATATCACTGCAGACATTAACAAGACAAAACCAAGTTCAACTGCATTTCACAAATACCCTCTAAGAAGAATCTGTTGCCTTCCAATCCCTCTGTTAGAACAACTCCTTCCACAGGAGTGGAACATACAAGCTTGAATTTTACTTCTGAGCAGAGAAAGCAGTCCAGTATTCGAGAACTTGAGAACTATTCACTAAAGTTCCCTAAAAATTCTTAATTCTCCTGTCACTGTTATAACATTTAAGCAGACACAGGTGTTACCAATCTCCCTTTAGTTGCTGTTTAGGCCATAAGCTAATTCAAAAGTTAATTCAAAGTTATCGTCCACAGAGAGACACACGAACCCAGTGAGGAAGAGCGCAGGTCAAATACACCAGCAACTCTGACAAAGCCACCACCCTTTTGCTGTCACAACTTCTGGTAATCTGTAGCATTCTCATAACATCTGTAAGCATCAGCTCTTACTGCAGTTACCTCAGGAAGAAGAATTAGGAAGGAGTTCAGGTACCACACCCCCACTCACCTGGAGAGAGTTTTCCTTCAAATCTGACATACCTTGGCAAAGGCTAGACAAGTAACAGTATGATATCTGCTTCACATAGAACAAATCACCGCTTTTTTTTCCCCCGCTATAGAAACACGAATTAGCAGACATATTACTATTAGGAAAATGGGTATTTTGCAAAGGTCATTCCCCATACAATACAAAGTCTTTGCCAAAGAAGTGCCTCTAAACCCATACACTCTTACTGATAACAGGCTGCCTTATCTAGTAGGGAAATCTTGAGGTTTAGAAGGCTGAAAAAATTTAAAAAAAAGATCAAAAATCCCTTGTCACAATTTCTTTAATTCCATAGGCCTCTTCCTTACATAAGCAAACATATTACAGACATCACTGCATTCTTTACAAAGCTCAAAGCTAAAGATATTATAACTGTAAGAAGACAAATAACAGAAGGCTTACATATCTATGAATGCAGATCAAAACGGCAGAGAAACATGAAAAAAAAAACACACTTAGAAAGAGATTTTAATGGAGAAAATCATATTTTCAGAAATTTTGTTGTATAAAGTGGAGTGATGAGAGTTGCAACTGTTTTTAAATACCCAGTTAAACAGCCATTTCTTGTCACTCAGATCTCTAGGATTGAATTTATCCTCATCATAAGGCCTGAACTGAAAAGAACAAGTTTGGTTCAATTAAGCAAGTCCAGTACATATTAAATGAAAATATATTAAGAAATAGGTGAAGATATATTAAGCCCTAGATGAAGAATCATGCAGAAAGCCTAGAGTACATTAGGAGAAGAAAAACAGGATGACTTGGGCTACTTATTTACTGTAAGCTAGCTCAGCTTCAGTCATTCAAAACTAAGCAAACTGTCCAGAACTGGTTTTACCAAGCAGTTTTTATTTACCTTGCTTGGATACTTCCAAATGAGCTTAACGTACTGTTGAACAAGACATTAAACAGCAGAAAAAGAGCCATCTCTAGTTAATCAGCACATTCACTATCAAAGACAAAAAAAAAAAAAAAAAAAAAGATTTGAAATAGCAGCAGTACCATATGAAGCCCAAACTCATAAAAGATAACTTATCTAAAAGCTCCAGAAGTACCTCCCTCACAAGAAGAGGATCACAGAAGTTCCTTGGGCTATCACATCAATAACAGCACACATTCCAGGTGTGTGCAAGTAGCTAAAGAGTAAGAAAAAGAATATAAATAAAAAGTTATCTCACCTCTATGCTATATATGCTTTCAAATAGGCATAGAACAGCTGCTGCAACTATTGGCATGAGGAAACTTCTTTGAGAACTTTACAAGATGAGAAACTCACATTTCACTACAGGAGACCACCTCTAACCATTACCACCACCCCCTACCTTTCATTTATAACAGGACATCCCAGAAATACCAATACAACTAGTTACAACACAGGCCTAATTTTATACTGCTATTCAGTATTAGTCACCATTTAGAACTACATTTATAACCCCCCCACCCACCTCAAAAGAAAAAAAAGATCCAACAAAAAAATTAAGCTTGATACAGTAATACTACAACACTATAGAAAGCACAGCAATAATAGCAGGGTAAAAAAATTCTTTAGTTACAGCAAATAAGAACAAGTTCAAAGGCAGCAGCTATGAATACAGAAATTAAGGAAAAAAGCTGCTTATCTTCAGAAAGCCTCAGGTAGGCAGGAATCTCCAGTGAGATCCCCTCACCTCCACTGCCAACATATAAATGAGGGCTGGGAAGGGGTGGATCCTGGCTCCACCCCTTCTGATCACTCAGGTACATTCCATGCACCTGAGCTCCCCCGGGTTGGCCCTCCCTTCCCACCAGGTGCTCAATCACTGCTTCAAGCTGACTTAGTAATTCTGCTGCCATAGGCTTTTAAATCCTGTTCTTACAAATGTAAGTCTCTGTTACACTTGTAACAGAGACTTCTGAGACAAAGCCATCTTTGGTACGGCTTTATTGAAGATGCTGGCCACTGCCTACTTCTCATAACGTTCCAGATGAATGCTCAGCAAATTGCTGCAGCATTTATGAAGTTTCATGACTGAAATCAGATCGGCTGAAGGAAAGAAAAGGGAAACAGTTGTAAGCCACATCACCTTCAACGAGGAGTGCTTCAGCTGTTGACCATTTCTGAATAACGTGGAGGAAGACGCCATCTTTATCAATCTAAAATCTTAAGCTCATTCTGTTAACGCTGTATTTCACAACACTCAAATCATAGTGAGGACTGCTTGGGAATCCTACAGAGATTCTTACCTTTTGGAAAAAAAATCTGCTTACTGCAAAAGCAGGTTCATGTTGTCTCATAATGGTTTACTTTGTGCTGGAAGGCGTTAATTGCAACTGGTTTCTTGTTGTGTCAGATCTTGTTTTAATTTGGCACTACCAGAAAGTCAATTACCCACTATATCTGAAAAGATGACTAAAACAGTTGCTTTTCTTTCCTGCTGAGCACGTCTGACAGCTCTGTAATAAAAGTACCTTTACTGCTCAGATATATGAAGCGCTAAAACTACTGAAGAGCCTATTTCTGATTCTTTCATGCTTTCAGACAGCTCACACAGAAACAAAGATTTTGTTTGCTTTCTAACTCCAAAGGAAAATGCCAGGAAGACTCAGAAATGGCACACAGATGTTGCTCTTACTCTCTTTGGTAGACTTTCCTTGACAAAGTCTCTTTGTACACAATGAAACTTGTCAAGAAACTGCAAATAAAAACAAAAAGAAGCCCAAACCCTGAGATGTGCTTCCTAACAGTTATACAGCAAAACCGGAATGGTTTAAAACTCTGTTGTTGGTCACTTCTGCACCAATCAGGACAAATCTCACTGACGTACTACACAGATTTATACAAATGACTGCAAAACTTGCTCACTGCATTTGTTTCAAACCTTGAAAATACCTGCTGCGTTTCCACACGGACTCCAGTGCAGTAGGAACTCCCAGGAGAACAGTTGTTGGTTTTGTTGAAGGAAAAAAAAAAACCAAAACCTTATAAAAGAAACTCTCACAGTTCTGTATGCTGTCTAATCTCTTAATCTTTGGGAAGATTAGAGCCTGTAGCTACCACCTGATCAGGATGGTGAAATTCTACCAGCCTAACGCGTCAGGAAAAGCACAAGGTAGAAACAAGCCCTTTATGTTTCAAAAAAATATAACCCCCTCTGCCATTAACGCCTCTTCAAAAGATTTCTTCTCAGCGGTACAGGAAAGATCTCAGTCCTTACAATTTTAATCAGAAGAGCGGCAAAAGCCCTGGGAAAACATTGGCTCCGAAATCAAGAGCTCGAGTTTTCAAATGTTTTTCTTAGAAGCTTGTTAAAAGTTGGATTTCAATAAACATTCGTAGGGCACGTTATACGAACGGCTTCCATCGACTCCTCGCAGGCGAGGAAGGACCACAAGGACCGGAGAGCATCGCACGATCTCCATTAACATCACAATGTAACAAAGAGATCGCTCCTAAGGACCGCGCGGCGCTCGGGCTGCCCGCGCACGCAGCTCCGACCGCACAGCTGCAGCCCGCGGCTCCCAGCCCTGACGCTGCGCGCCTGGAACGGCACGGACGGAACCGACACCGCCGAGGCGTGGGAAGCCCGCGATCCGCCGCTAATCTCCTTAAACATTAATTGGGAGCAGCGGGAGGGAAAAAGTCGAATTGTGTTTACGCCATAAAGTTGTCAGACTGACAGATCGTAAAGTCGCCGCTACCGCACGCCACGCGGGATCTAAAGCTCGTTCCGGCTTCTCAGCCGCGAGTTGGGCGTCGGGCCGGGATCCCTCACATCCCGAGCGGGCTGATGGGGGCTGCGCGCCCCCGCGTCTCCGCGCCGTTTCCCCTTCAGCGTCGCGGGCCGGCGGGGCACCGTGCAGCACTTACCGCGCTCGCCGGCTCGGCGCGCAGACACAGCAGCAGCACCGGCAGCAGCAGCAGCAGCGCCCTGTGGGGAGGCAAAAGGAGAGCGCGGCGTCAAGCGGGGCCGAGAGCTGGCAGGGGGGCGGGGGGTCGCGCCTCGGCACTCACCCTGCGCGCCCCGGGGCCGGGCCCATGCCTCGGGCGGCCGGGGTCTGCGGCTCGGCTCGGTGGAAGGGGAGGACCGCCTCCCGTACGCGCAGAGAAAGTTTGCGCGGTCCGAGCGGATGTCCCGCACCTGAGCGGAGGGGAAGGCGGGGCCGGGCGAGCAGCCCTGCCCGCACGGGACGACCGCACCGCCCCTCCCGAGGTGCGCCCCGCCGCCGCGACGGCAGCACCGGTCCCTGCACCCCGCGCCGCCTCCGCCGTAGAAAATAGTGCGGGGTCCGGCGGCTGCGCCCGCTCCGCGGAGGTGTGGAGCGGAGGGAGGCGGCGCGCGCGCCTTCGCAGCCGCTCACGGCCCAGCACCCGGAGGGAAGGGCGGAGGCGGGGAGGCGCGGCCGCTCCTTGGAAGCCGGCACCCAGCCCTGTCCGCACACGCACGCCACGCGCCCGCCCGCCGCGGGGTGCGGATGAATATTGCGGGTGCGAAGTAGTCCCGGTAGGACTTGAGCCGGGAGAAGCGGGCGAGCGCGGCAGAGGGGCGGGTGCTGGCGTCGGGGCGGCCGGCGGGAGTCGCCTGCGGGAGCCGCGCTGCCCCGCCGGGTATGCCCGCGCCGCAGGGCCGCTCCCGGAGCTCCTAAGCGGGTGGGAGGATGGAGTGGCGGTGGCGGAGTCGCAGCCTGGCCGTGGGCTGCGTGGTGCTGCTTCTGCTGGGCTGCTGGGGGCCGCGGGAGGCGGCGGTGAGTGCGAGGCGCGCGCCTCCTTCTCCTTAGGGCGCTTTTCGGGGCCCCGAGGGCGGGCGGGCTCCTGGAGCCACGGGTGCCGGCACGAACGGGGCGGGCAGCGCGGCGCGGTGCCGCCGGGGCCACCGTTCTCGGAGGCTTCTCCCGCTTCCCCTTGGGGCGCGGAGCCGTCGGAGCGCGCCGGGCCGGGAAGCGGCGTGCTTGTGTGGTAAGGGCGTCCGGGCGGGATTTGTGCGGGCCGAGCTGAGGGCTGCTCCGGGACAAAGGAGGAGAAGGGCCCCCCGGCCGTGGCGCGCTACTAGCCGGGCGCACCTGGAGGCGGCGGCGCCGAGCGGAGGCGATGCGGGAATGGCACGCGCGGGAGGTGACGGCGCCGCGGTTCCGAAGGAGCCCCGAGCACAAGCGCGCCTGCAGCGCGCCGCTCCGCCGGCACCCTCAGCTCCTGCCGAGCCGCGACGCCCTCAGCGCGCTCCTCCGTAGGCTGACTTCGTAAGGTTTGCTTGGAAGGCGGTTTTGATTTCTGCTGTCTAGGATGATACCTTGCTCGGAAAAAATTCGTGGCGTGCCGGGAGGTGTGGAGTACCTTTCTGCCGCGGCCGCGCTATGCGCACACTCATTTTGTAGCTAGAGCTGACAAAATCCTGTCATGAATTCACCTTTGAAGCGCATTCCTTTACAGTGAGACTCCGCAGACATCACATGTGCCCTTCCAAAGCTGAAGCACAGCCATAGTGTGCTCCTTTCCTCTTTTCTCCTCCTTGATGCCCAGGTGTGCACCCAGCTGTAAGCAATACCAGTGTGCAGTCAGTGCCTGCAGGTTGCTGGAACTGCTTGTCTTCACACTGTCTGTGGTACTGCTTTTGATGCTTCATGAAGTGCCACCCAGCCTCCGCTGTCTCCCATTGTGTTCCCCCCTTTTAACCTGTCCTCCCCCCAAAGGAAGACCTGGGGAAGTCCTACTTGTGGGACTTAACTGTTTTAGGAGTTAGGGCTTGAAGATCAATAGGCTTGTGGTTGTACATACGGCTCTTTTTTGCCTTCCCCTTTCAGAAAAGTGGCAAAGCAGAGATCTCTCTGTGTTTAGCTGGTAGGAATCTGTGGGGTCTTGAAAGGGGGCTGTGCTGGGCTGACCTCAGTGAGATGGAGTGAACAGAATGGTGGAGGAGGTGGTGGGATTGTGGATCTGAACACTCTTCTTAGCATGAGTGTTCTGGGGTTGCATTGTACCTCTCCGTGGTTGGACAAGATTAGCTCACGACCTGAGGGCTCTTGGGGATGGGAAATAGAGACGCACCTCTGTTTCCAACCTGCATGGGTCCTGCTGACACTTTGGTTTCCTAATGCTTTGGGATTCTGATGTCCTTGAATTTCCCATGATGGTGACAATGCTGAACAAATGCTGATCCTTATCAAGTAAGATCAGCATTTTACTCTTCTGATTGTCAGAAGAGCTGGAATTAACGTTACAGCAGTATGCATGATACACACAGTCTCTTTGTGAATGTTGTTTTGGGGCCTTGTCAGATTTCCTGACCTCAACAGGATGGATCTGGTGGGATGTGTTCAGGCTGCTTTGGTGTCCTGACTGAAATATCCGAAGTTGTTACTCAAACCCATCTGAAGTGCAGAAATCACATCGCGTTTGTTCCAGATGGTGTAGTTTATACGCTGCAATGAGTTACCAGGAAACAGTATGGCACTTATCTGTTCAACTTGGTGAGTAAGGCAGGGACCACGCGATGTTCTCCTGTGCAGGCTGATGCTGTTGTGGGATGTGCTGATGTGTTGCATGCAACAAGCAGTTGGCAGTCTGAGAAAGGTCCTGGTTCAGAATGAGAGAATGAATGAGATGGGAGATGTCATCTGCGCGTGGTGTGATTTCCTAGGTAACTTTTCTGAAAAGGTGCTTATTTGTTTTATGCTTTTATTAGGGTGTGAGCGCTTATGCTTAAAGGACTCGGTGTTTTTTATGTAAACTTATCTATGTTTATATAAGCCAATTCACTTTTCTTATAAGTGGTGTTTTTTCCTTTCCTGGAAGGTGTATATTTATACAGTGTTATAGAAAAGTGAGCACAACTTGCAATTGTGAAAGTATCTAGTTAAAGAATATGGATTAATTAGATTATTGTGCTTATCTGTACAACTCAGTTAATGACTGCTTATTGACTTATGCTGGAGGAGGGAAAAAACTTTTGTATTTAAGACCTTGTGTAAACAGGCTTTGTCAACCCTTTGTCACGCCTTTTGTCACCTTTGTCAGTAACTTCTGCATTATTTTACTTTCTTTGTGTTCTGCTTTGGTTATAGTTTGACCTGAAGTACAAGAATGAAAGCAATTGTTCAGCCATGAGCATTTGGGAAGGCATGCTGGCAAGATGGGTGTCACTTGTGGTTGGTTGTTGTGGTTGGTTTTTTTGTTTGTTTGTTTGTTTTTTTAAAGTAAAGCACTTATGGAAAGTCAGTAAACTTAGTTGGAATTTATCTTTTGGATGTTATTGTGTATAAATACACGTGCACGTACATTCTCATTAGTTACAGTTTAACTGTCTGGATTTGTAAATGATGATCACCTTTAGTTTCTCTTGTTTGTCTCAAGGATTTTTCTGCAGTATTGATTGCTGTTATTTTGAGTTTCGTAACTGCCTGTGCCTCTTTCTAGTTATAAAAGCTAAGTCTCTGAAGGTAGGAAGAAATGGATGCTGGCATTCAGAATTCCATGGATATGTCTTGGTTAGTCATGCACAAGACTGTTTCATAACGTTAAGGCTCAAGTCCTCATACTTACAACTTGTCTCTTGTCAAGGGTTTTGCTTTTGGCCTTTCATAGGTGTTAATTTGAAGATATACAGTAAGAGTTGTGTCTTAAGATGTGTTCTGGCGTACATTAAAATGCAAACAAATCAAAGGAATCCAGAGTGGAAATAATTTGATTCCGATTTGGGCCATAATAGGACCTCCTGTGGCTCTGTGGAGCAGTTACCTATCTTAATCAGTTCTTCCACATAATGAAGGTAGACTGATAGTTCAGTGGAAACTCCTTGGTTTTCACTTTCCTCCTTAAGAATGAGTTAACCTGCTTGCTGAAATCAATTACCAAAACTACTTACCTTTTTCTGAAGTTGGAAGGGAAGCTTTCTTAGGACCAAATGTTTCTTAGTTTACGTTATGTGTTGAATAAACTTGCATGGTGACCTTTTTCCACAGTGAATAATGAAGGAGTCGTGTTTACCATCATGCAGTATGGTTGCTGTTAATTTTACTGGAACGTGCAGAAACTTCTCTATTACAAAACAACTGAAATCACTAAGAACACCCTGACAAAAACATGCATATTTTCTATCTGGGACAGAGTGCAGCAGGAGTCTGCACGTGCAGTGAAGGTGTATTGGCACTTGAAGCTTTCATTCACTTAAATTAAAACTCTTCCTTCTCTAATCACACCAGTTGTATATACTCTCCATTGTACATCACCACTTAACAAGATACCTAGACAAGGTCTACTTGCATGTTCTAGGAATAGGATTACACAAGCGCAGTGAATAGAAAGCCAATAACAGTAATACCAGACAAATTGCTTGGAATGAAAATGCTTTGTGCTTAGCTGATTCATAAGCTGTTTGGACTCAGTAATACCTGAATCTACTGGGATGCTCTGAAGTTCCTGCAGCACCCAGTGCCTGGCTATCTGATGTTGGCTTCAGACTTCTCTGCTGAGAACAGATGATTTATGGCACAAAATACAGAAAACTTGCTATATTCTGTATATTCTGGTGTAGTTTTAAGGAGCTTTAAGCAGCATCCTTTGCCCTCTGTGAAAGGTTAGCAACACAATTAAACTCTACTAATTATCACTGATACAGTGCAGCTTTTAAAAAAGGGAATTTGCTGAGAGCCCTGGTTAAATGCAAGTGTGTGGCGTGTGGAGGAGAAGCCTTGGTGTAACACTTATCAACAGTGTAAATGTAGCTGTGCTGAAGAGAAAAAGGTCCTGTTTTAAATAAATCTATCGCTTGTAAGTCAAATGCAAAGCTGTTCTTGTTCTGAGTCTTGCAGAACTGAAGTTTTTCTTCAATTTCCAAATTGGTCTTACATAGAGGACACTGTGGGGGGGTATGTTGGCTTCGTTGGAGATGTCTTAGTGTGGAGCTCTATTTTGCAGTTGTCTAACTTCAAAATTATACAGCTCTGTAAAATTTTCAGCTTAGATTTGTTAATGCCTTTGTCTCTCTAAATCAGTCTTGATTCTTTAACTGCTTTATAGCCATATCAACATCTGTTTCAAGACTAAAGATATTTTTGTTCACTTATCGAAGTGCATCTCTGTCATGCTCTGAGAGGGAATCTGGAGTGAGTAATGACCTGAGGACTCTTCCAACCTGCAATATCTTGTGTGTAAAATTATACTAGAGTCCAGCCGTGCTCCCAGGGGTGCTTTCTGTTAGATGTCTTGCATATCTTGTGGACTAGAATTAATCCTAACTGCACTGTAATGTTGAGAGTAGGCAATCTTGTTTACTTAGAATGGCTGAAATATTTATATGCACATACTGCACACAAAAGGAAAATAAATTGTAATGGCAACCTTGATGGTTTTTGACCTGAAGTGTGTTTTAGGGGAATGAATGCTTCAAGCCGACTTCGGTGATAGCCTTCAAGGCTCTTAGTTACTGCTGCTCAACCTTCTGTGGTTGGATTTCTTCTTGTCTCTCTTTTTAGAGAGGAGAGAAAATAGTTTACTCTCATCAGTATATTG